TGCCTGGTAAACAATGATTATTCTAAGGCTGGTTTTCCACGGTCTCCTTGTTATTCTCTCTCAACAGGCATATGGAGCCCAAGGAGACAGCTTCCCATTTTACTGAACTGGCGGGTCCACAATCAGCTGCCCTAGTGCTGACTCCCCGGGAGACAGGGCCTGGGAGGTCAGCGGCAGAAAGCTGCTCTTCGTGGAGACTGGCACTCTCCCATGTCACCCTGCCTTCCAACCCACCTCTCAGCGAGTTCCTCTTCGCTCCCCACAGCTGTTGAGATGACTGATGTTGCAGGTAAACAACTTCCCAGAGGCCAGCCCTGTACCTGCTGCGCTTAGGAAATGACAGGTAAATTGGGCAGCAGTAATGCTGTTTGGGGTGTTGGTGTGAGCTGCGGTGTGTCCTGATTAGATGGAAAAAAATAGAGTCCATTGTGTTGGTGATGCAGAAAGAGAGAGAACCCAGAGAAGGTTGGCCCTGCACAAAAATCCATGGCCCAAACCCAGGCCCGACCTCTGACCCCCAGTCAGGGCCCCAGGTACCACGGTATGCTGTGCATGGTGCAAACCTTCCATGTTTGTCCCTGAGCCTGTTCTATGACCCTGCTTGGTCTTGCTGTCCATCCCATCCTCTGTCCTCATCCCTCCCTGGGGTGTGGAGGACAAAATTCTGCCTTTAAGCCAGGAGACTTGGATTTTAATCCCATTTTTGCTGCCAGTTAAGCTCTGTAACTTGGGCAATCAATTAGCATTCCTTTGGCCCCAAATTCTTACTAAATGGAAAACAGTTAAATGGGCAGCAAGCACACAGTGGGGGGAATTGAGCCCCATCACCTCTAAGTTCCCTTCCTATCCATATTCTATGGCAGTGCTACCCTAGGGGCCGCATGCCAGCATCCTACATTGGTTTGCTTTCTTGAGACAAAGCCATACACTCCACGACCTGCTCTTCTCACAGCTTCTCCCCCACACCCCCCAGCCTAGCATACTTACCTTCCCAAATCCTTAGAGTGACTCTCCCCCGCAAGATGTGATATTGTATAACATGCACCCACTCCTAGAAAATGTAAATTTTCCCTAATTTGCAGGAGTAAGCATGAAACATGGAGTCAAACAGACCCAATTATAATCTTGGCTTTGCTAAATTAATATGGGTTTTTTTGAGCAAGGTACTAGACATATTCAACTTCTAGTATTATCAGACCCATTTCCACCTACAATGGACCTGCTAATACCCACCTTGTCAGGCTGTGGGGAGGATTAAATGAACACAGTTCCTATAAAACACAGTGCCTGGCACATAATGTGAGCTCAACAACTGTGTCTGCCTTCCTTTCCTCTCTGGGTCATATTGATGCTTCTTTACAACCAACCACACCCTGAAAATTCTGCCTTTCCTCCAAGGCAGTGACTAATCCTGAGAGTCAGTGGGTAGGGCTGCACACTGTCCACCTCCAAGGATGTCATTCAGCAGAATGTACCCTCAGGGCTCCAATGGGAAGAGCGTCAGTAGTGCTAAGATGTCCACATCTTCTACCTTTCTCGCCTCCCAGTCACTTCCTGACGTCTCACTTTGTTTCCAACCTTGGACTGGTGAGTTATCTTCCATATCTTCTATTCTTATTCAACCTATGCAGTCAGTTCAGTGTCATTCCCTGAGGTCCAGTTCTGGTTGGTCCCCTTCAATATCTTCCTAGTACCTCTAGCACATAGGTGTTTAAACTCAGAGTCCCCAGACTACATTTAAAGTCCTGCATAATCTTCCCCTTGGCCTTTCCTAAGCTCATCTCTCATGTTCCTTTACATCTCACTCTGCTCTGGCCAACTCTAACTTCTGTTCCGCCAGATTTCCCAATTCCATGTTTTTCTCTTGCTGTTCCCTCAGTGTGGGAAGCCACACTGCCCATTTCTGCCCATCACAAGCCTGTCCTCTCTTCAAAGCTGACCAAAATCTTTTCAGGTATCTCTGTTTTTAAATCACTATAGATCTTGGCCGTTAATTTCTCTCTTTTTTCCAATTTGTATTTAGGTCATGTATGATCTTGCCTTTTCAAACATCCTTGATGCCTGAGGAAATCAATAGCATCTTACTAATTTTAATATGTTCACAGCACTCAATACAGAGCCCCTCACAGGAGCTACTTGACAGGTGCATACTAAATCGAACCTTCCAGCTGAATATACTGCCAGCTTCATCTAGATCCGCGGTTCCCAACGTGGGCACATGTCCCACAGGGTGGCAATTTGATTTTTAAGGGGGGCCATTCAAGAATGGGTTATTAACAGTGAATTTTTTGCATTTCTTATGGTTCTAGGAGCCTCATACACAGTATATAAATATATATTGTGGCATATTTATGCATTCCAGTTCTCTATTATATGTTTTGAAATCTTATTTGCTATTTTTCATATCACTTCATATTATTATTATTTTTTTTTAACAATTTCTTAGTGATTTCTTTCTCAGTACTTCAACTGTCCTTTCATTCTTTTATTTTTCTCTCGTTCTTTGGAAGCTTGTTTAGACCAAGTTAATGGCCTTTTAGGCTTCCTCTATGTGAATAGCAGTTCACTTTTTAAATAATAAGAATTATATGTCACAGGGGTTGGGAGGGGCATCAGGATTTTAGAATGGTTAGGTGGGGCATGCCCAAAAGAAGGTTGGGAACCATTCATCTAGGTGTTGTCATATAATAAGATGAAAACAAATGTGCAGTCACCACTAGGGGTGCTCACAGGTAGCTGGGAGATAGAATGATGCAATGGTTTTAAACCTCCATATCCGAGGTCACACGGTGAAGCACCATTGAATACAGGGTCTTGAAAAGAGTAGGCATCCAGACGTGTTTGTTTTATAAATAAACACAAAATGGAGAAACCTGGATTTAACTCTTGAATTCACCTTTCCTGAACTGTGTTATCTGGGTAAGTTGCTTAACTTCCTAAGGGTCCATTTCTTCATTTATGATGGGATGGCAATGCTATTTGGGGGAAGTTTTGGGAAAATTAAATCAATCAATGCATATAAAGCAGTTAGCACAGGATTGAACAGATAGAGAACACTTTAAAATAGCTTGTTGTTATCATCATCATCATCTACATTGTTGACCTATATAAATATTGTCTAGATTAATTTAACATCAATTTATTTGCAAAGATGTATTGCTCCTTAAAAATTCTGACAGGTGGTCTGAAAATTTTTTTAACAACAACAAAAAAACAAGCCAACCACTCAAACACCTATAATGTATAAACTTCCACAAATTGGGGAAGGACTTGATTCAAGTTGCACACCTTCTTTTTAAAAACGTGTGAATTCCGTGGGGGTGAGGTGCAAAAACTGGTGTATGAAAAAAGAAATTAAAAATAGGTCTTTAGGAAATAAAATCCTGTGTCTTTTGGCATTGCTCAAATGTAGAAAACGCATCTGCAGTATTTGGAACCAGTGGCCAGATTGAAAGCTATGGTACCTACATCAGTTTCCCTGAGAGCCACGCACACCTGCAAACACTGTTTTCTAAATGCATGCGCTCAGAGATTTCCTAACCCTGTTAGACATCATCAAACAGTTATAGAGAAGCTAGTCAAATGCAGGATTTTAAAATTGTGGGAATTAGGAACAGAAAAGGACCTTGGAAATGATCTAGTTCAAACTCCCAATTTTGCAGATGAAAATTCTTAAGGTCCAGAAAGGACTTCATATTGCCCAGCGGCTTCTCTTTTGGTGTCAAAGGAGAATTTCATGACACTTTTGGGTGTTAACATAGGATTCCTGAATGGGCAGCTGTGGTACAATCTCAGGAGGAAAATGGCAGAGTCTCCTTTGTTGGCCTCTTCACTTGAGGAGGGAAGAGAGGTAATGTGCTCTTGGGGAGTTAAAGGTTCTTTCACTGACTCTCAGAGGTAAGTTGATTACCTTTGCAAGACACTAGGATGAACACGAACAAAGATCTTTCCCTCTAGACCTCATCCAGAAAGCTGAAATACATGGACACAGGACGAAACGGCACCTTTGAGTTTCACATCAACACCCTACTCGGATATAGGCTTTGCGACAGGTTTAAAAAGAGGTCTTTCTAGTTCTTCTGAGACTAGGCTCCATTCTAGAATGCTTATAGCACAAGCATCACGGCCATGTTTAGATATATCTGCAAGGATTTCGCATAAGCCTAGAGAGAAGAAAGTTGATTCTACAGAGAGGGTCTTCGTCTCTGCTTTTAAAATTCTCTCGTTACCCACTTCTTTTTCTTTTCTCAGTGATACAGCTCTGCTATTCCAGCTACAAAAGCCAGAGGCCAGTGGCAAGTTCTCAATGAGAGCAGGTGGCTGAGGATGGTTTTTGTTTTTTTAATACACTTCTATTGATTTCAGAGAGGAAGGAAGGGGTTGGGGGGAGGGAGGGAGGGAGAGAGAGAGAGAGAGAGAGAGAGAGAGAGAGAGAGAAACATCAATGATGAGAGAAAATCACTGATTGGCTGCCTCCTACACGCTCCTACTAGGGATGGGGCCCACAGCTTGGGCATGTGCCCTTGATGGAAATCAAACCTAGGACCTTTCAGTCCCCAGGTTGACATTCTATCCACTAAGTCAAACTGGCTAGGGCTGAGGACAGTTTTCAAAATTAATTTCATGGGCTGTTAATAAGTGTGGTCTAAAAAACATTATGTGCTTAGAAAACATTGAATTAGTTAACTTTAAACAAAATTCACCACTAAAATACTTGTTAGTGCCTTTTATATGCTAATGTGCAATGTGACTCTCTTGGCAGAGCTGTGTAAATATAATATATAAAAGCATTTTCCACACTTCCCTAACTTATTTGATTTTTCCTCCGCAAGTCCTACTTTAGTCCTACTAGAGCATAAGTTTTAAGCCACTCAATTTGTGGTACTTAGTTATGGTTGCCGTAGGACATTAATATACCTAGATATGAATTTTAGCTCTGTCACTTAGCAGCTCTATGAATTATTTAAACATTATCTTCCTGATACTTTAAGGACACTTACCTTTCTGTGATTGTTTCTCTGAGGCCACTGGCCACCCCTTTGACCACAGTGCTAGCTTTGGGCGTCAGCACCACCTGAGATATAAAAAACGAGCCCTTCTTTCTTCTCTCAGTGATGGACGCCTGAAGGAACTGAATTAGTTTTTCTGGGTCTGTGGTGTTGGCCCAGGGTGCTGGCATCATCTGCCCAGGCCAGAGGAAGGGCACCTCCAGAGCCACGGGACTGTGGTAGAAGACCAGCACCTGGTAGTCCTTCTCCCACAGGTACTTTAGACTCACTTCCTGTGCAAAAATTGCTGGGCACATCTTATTTCCATAGATGTCTTTCAGCATCTGGACCAATTTTTCATGGTGATATTTCTGCATTCCATAAAAATGATTGAAGTCCAAGAACACGACCTCCTTACGGTGATCTGTGAGGAATGCATTGATCTCCTCAAGGCCCTCATTGACTTTGGCACTGAACAAACCGTGAGCAAAGTAGAGTTCATTGTCGGGGTCTCTGGGCTTGGTGGAAATTCGAAGATCAAAATAACGGATCCCAGCTCCTAGCTGACCAGTAAAATTCATCGTTTGCGTGGCTAACCATTTCCGCATCAGCTTTTTGGCCACAGTTCCAAAAACAGAGACAAAATTCTGGACAGTTTCTGGCTGTTCAGGCCCTACTGGAGAGGCTTCATCGATGTAGAAGCTGAAAGAATCGTGAGATCCTAGAAGAACAACAAGGCACAATGTGGTTACATTTCAGTCCTTTGTCCTCCCCAACCTCTTTCCCTCTTGCAATGTCTATATCTCTCCCTCAAATGAGCCAAAGGAAGCACTAAGCATTATTTACCAAGTTCATTCTCATGCCTCAGGGAGGTTTTTTTACAGCCTAGTATAACAACAGAGCAAATTGGTTCTGAAGTGATAAAACAATGCCTTCTGATCAACATTTTCAAATTCAAATCATCATCTTCTACTTCTGTCAACAAAGAATTTAATGTATTCACTAGGATTGGTTTTCCATATAGTGACCATTCAAGAATAGGACTTATGGGGACCTACCAGTTCCCAAATACTTTGTCTATAATGTTGCCCCTGTTCTTCATTTGGGGTTGATTTGAAGCCCAGAAGTCTTGTTTCAACAAATAAAGAAGCTCTGCTTATTCCAATGAATAAAGAAGCCCTTTCCACCAGCAGATGGTCAGTGTAAGAATGGCAACCTCATACCCTTTGGAAAACACAAGAGGTCAAAGGGTAGAAGAAAGGAGAAATAAGGCAAGAGGACAGTCCAATGCTGACATGTTTAACATCATTTCTGACCCTGCACTTGGGCAACTGTCATCTTAGATAAGGTTGCAAGTTATCACAACTGAGCAAAAATTAACTAAGAAGCCATTTTGTTCTGATACTTCCTCTTAACAGCAAAGTCTCTTTTGGAAGTTGGCTTCCCAATTTAAAAGCATTTCTTTCTAGGAAGAACAAGGACAACCTATTTATTTATTTCTAGCAGAAATAAATAACTCCGGAGATGGAGCAACTAATGTATGATTTGCCTGTAAGTACAGAGAACCACTTAAAATGTTATTGGACCCAATAAAGAAAAATTATTTCAAGTCATAATTTTATTTTTAAAGACACCTTTAATTCTTGGGCATGACCTACTAACTAGGTAAAATGAATGTATCCTGGATTGTTCACACATTAGCAGACGTCATCATTCCCCATCTGTTCCTTATGCTTCCTCACACCTTGTGGCCCACTCCTGATCTATATTCCTTAAGGCACACCTTCTCCGAGGTCATTACTCCTGCCACCCAAACACATATACGCACACATGCACACACACATGCACACTCATGGCCCTCTAAATTTATCATCTATCACCTTATGGCTTTTGTCTGATAAGCTATTTTTTTAATATATTTTTTATTGATTAAGATATTACATATGTGTCCTTGTCCCCACATTACCCTCTACACCCCCACCCCCACCCCCGCTCATGCCCTCCCCCCCACCCCCCCATTGTCCGTGTCCATTGGTTAGGCCTATATGCCTGCATGTAAGTCCTTTGGTTGATCTTTCCCCCTTACCTCCACCCACCCCTACCCTCCCTCCAAAGCCCGACAGTCCAATCAATGCCTCTCCGTCTCTGGATCAGTCCTTGTTCATCAGTTTATGTTGTTCATTATATTCCACAAATGAGTGAGATCCTGTGGTGTTTATCCGCTCTCCAGTTCCATCCATGCTGTGGCAAATGGTAAGAGTTCCTTTTTCTTCTTCCTCTTCTTAAAGAATACCTTTCAGCATTTCATATAATGCTGGTTTGGTGGTGATGAACTCCTTTAGCTTTTTCTTATCCGTGAAGCTCTTTATCTGACCTTCTATTCTGAATGATAGCTTTGCTGGATAAAGTAATCTTGGTTGCAGGTTCATGCTATTCATCACTTTGAATATTTCTTGCCACTCTCTTCTGGCCTGCATGGTTTCTGTTGAGAAATCAGCTGACAGTCGTATGGGTACTTCCTTGTAGGTAACTGACTGTCTTTCTCTTGCTGCTTTTAAGATTCTCTCTTTATCTTTTGCTCTTGGCATTTTAATTATGATGTGTCTTGGTGTGGTCCTCTTTGGATTCCTTTTGTTTGGGGTTCTCTGCGCTTCCTGGACTTGTAAGTCTATTTCTTTCACGAGGTAGGGGAAGTTTTCTGTCATTATTTCTTCAAATAGGTTTTCAATATCTTGCCCTCTCTCTTCTTCTGGTACCCCTATAATTCTGATGTTGGTACTCTTGAAGTTGTCCCAGAGGCTCCTTACACTATCTTCATATTTTTGGAATCTCTTTTCTTTTTTCTTTTTCGGTTGGGTATTTTTTGTTTCTTTGTATTTCAAATCTTTGACTTGATTCTTGGGATCCTCTTGTCTGCTGTTGGATCTCTGTAAATTATTCTTTATTTCAGTCAGTGTATGCTTAATTTCTAGTTGGTCCTTTTTCATGTCCTCCAGGATCTCACTATACTTATTGAGGGACTCATTAAATTTATCGGTGGTTTCCATAAAATTCTTGAAAAACCTTATAAACGTGGCCTTGAACTCTATATCCAGTCGTTTGCTTTCCTCCATTTCTGCCATTTGTGACCTGTTTCTTTGTCTCCGCATTTTGGCTGCTTCCCTGTGTTGATAGAGTGGCTTTGTTTGCTAGGTGTCCTGTAGGGCCCAGTGGCTCAGCCTCCCCAGTTACCTGAGGTAGCTATGCCTTGGTTGTTGTAGGATCACTGGGAGGAATTGACCTCCAGGCCAGTTGGCAGTGAGAATCAGCTGTGTCTGCAGTGGGAGAACTTCTGTGCTGGAGACACCCTTCTGGGCAAGACTTGCTTCAGTGGGGCTTTGGTGCTCACTGAGACTGCACCCTGAGTGTGTCCCTTATGGATCTGAGGAGTTGTGATCTGGATGGTCCCCCTCTGACCACTGGGTACAGTGGCTCTTGGATCTAAGGAGGTGCTAATTTAGCCTCTGCCTGAGGTTACACAGCAGAAGCTACAAAGAGAACTGCAGATTCCCCTTCCTTTTTTGGCCTTGATGAGGCTCAGCTGTGAAGCAATGCAAGCCACTGTGGGGCCTTGAGCCTTCTCTTGGAAGTTCTGGGTCTGTCTGGCCAGGCTGCAGTTAGGTAATTACAGGTTACAAAGGGCTGGGGCATTCATATGCAAAAGTCTCTGCCGCAGCCTGGGTGGGGCGGGGTCTCAAAGAATCAAAGGGCGGAACAAGCAGCTATGGCGGAGCCTCAGCCCTGCCCTAAGGAGTCTCAAGTCTCAGTGTCGTAAGGGCTGCAAGCACCTCTGAGGGAAAGCTGCCCTCAAGTTCGCCCGCTGCCAAACAGTCCAGTTTCTCCCCGTATGAGTCCTGGGTCCCCAGAGACTTCCCGGAACCAGAGTTCAGAGCCGTCGGGAGCTTGTGACTCCCTCCGGATTCAAAAAGACAGCCGCGTCCTCAGGTGCCAGCCCTTTTCCATGCGTGCGAGCCCCCTACCTCTGCACTTTACTTCCGCAGCTCCTCTGGCTCTCAGTGTGCTTTTCTTTCCTTCTAGTTGTAGAATTTACACTCAGCCATCCCTCCTGTAGTTCTGGATGATGTCCGTTTTGTGTTTTTGACGTATTTTTCAATTGTTGTGGGAGGCAGCAATTTCCCGGTGTTTACCTATGCCACCATCTTAGTTTCTCCGTCTGATAAGCTATTTGAAGTGATTTTTTCAATGATGCAATATTTACCTTTGATTTTATTCCACATATATGCTAATTTATATCTACATCTATATATGTATATATCTATGTCTAGCATTAAATGGTCCATAGAAATCATAAGAATATGGATTTCAGGCACCATGGTAGGTTGATTAGAGAAAATATTTTGAAAAATACTTTGATGCCTTCCCAATCATAACCTTTAAGATTTGGAACAGATAACTCCTTGGAATTATAAGATTTTTTCCAAATAATGAAAGGTAACCTCCAAATACAGAAATGTCATGTTTAATTTAATCTGGAACTGTCTGATATAGTTATCTTTAGTAGATAGTATGGGGAGAAAATGTCAGCACTTTCTAGATATGCAAAACTGACAGTTTGGATCTGGTATTGGCAAATTTTAATAGGGATTGAAATTGCTATATATTGATTAATATTTGCTATTCAGTTATTTGCTAATATAAATTGAGAAACTAAATCTGTACTATGGCTGAATATAAAAGAGAGTCTGTGTAAAGAAAGGAATACAAAAGTGAGTTTAAGAATTGTTGTAATTAAATAATCTAGGCATAAATAAATAAATGAACACTCAATATAAGAGCTAAATTTAAGTTAATTTCCAGGTATATGAAAAAGGGTGGATGAGAGTAATTGGTTCCTTTTGTAATCTAATAGAAGACATCACTGGAAGCAAGTAGAAATGGAATTAAATATAACTAGATTTCTTTTTCCAGAAATGAGTGGGTTTTTGTTTCAATATGACTTTAGTTTCTACATTCTATCATATGGCTATATGCCAATTTTTTCAAAGCCTAGGAAATTCCTCACTTTTGAAAATCCTGTAAAAGGATATTATAGTTTCTAAATTAAATTACTTGTTGACATTTAAGGAAAATGTGTTATTAAGGTCAAAATAAGGCAGTGTCAAAATAAAAATTAAAAATAACTAATGGTCAGGAGAAGATATTGGTACCCCATCAATATTTGTTCTAAGCTAGATGACCCTGAGGCGCATGTACAGCGTTTGGGGCAGAATTATGTACCCAGATACAAACAGTATTTGGAGAGGAAAATTAAATCATCAATCAATACAAAACACTATGCATTTTAGGACAAAAAAAGTATCTAATGTTGGCCCAAAAAGTACTATTTTCATGACTTTTAATTTCATTCGGAATAGTACTTTCTCCCTAATTTCATCATTTTTACTAAACCATTAAATTTTCTATTTGAACTTAAACCAAAAATACAGCAGTACTTTATGACCTTTTAATAACAGAGAGAAAAAGTCTGGCCCAGTCCTGTGTCCTTAAAACCACGGAGCCCTGACCACCAGCAAGACAGTGCCTAAGCATCATTTTTACTGTTCTTAGCTACATCCACAACCTCTCTGATTATCTGGCCTAATATTTTGCTTCTCACTGGTTGCGTATTACTGGGCTTCTGACCTCTTATCCTTCCTTTGTCCATAGCCCCAAAGGCATACA